ACAAGCCTATATGACAAAAAAATTTATTTTGAAAATAGAAAAAATCAATTGCGCCCTCTCCATACTATAGAGCACGAAAATTTAGTTCTTTTACTTGTTTTGTGTTTTTTAGAATAACTGTGACGGGTAAGAAAGATGCGTTCACGGGCGAATATAATTTTCTTAGTTGTAAATTTTTTTGAGCGATTTGTCGCTAAATTGGTTTTAGACTAAACAGACTAAACTCAAGGGGTTATAACTTCATACTATTGTGTGCAGTCCTCCTAATTTTTTTTTTAACCTATAACACATGAAGAGGAGAGGGGCAGATTAATAGGGACTCGTTTCTTCATTCTTTATTTCAAAACAATCTTAACACAGCCCTTTCAGTACAGTGTAGTTCCTCTTTGTAATAGTGTAGTACCTCTTTTGTTGATGAACTCAGCTTCTGTTTACAGTTTTGTTGTATTGATTGAACTTGACTCACTTTATTTAGAGATAGTTTGTAGACTTTGCCGCAAGATAGGAAGTTCAAAGGGAAAAATTACTTCTGCCCGATGCATAATGCTTAACACCTTAATTCCTTTTTAAGAAGATCAAAGGTCCTTCGCAATTGTTAAATAACTCGGCCCGCATTAATAGAGGTATAGCTTGCATATTCTCCTTCATATTTTTAATATCCATAAAATTACGCAAAATATAAATGTATATACATATATGCTTCTTCTAATAACTTCCAAATTGTTGATATATTATTAACTTTTACTCTGTAATTTATACTGTTTTTGTTTACTAAGTAGTTTTATTGCATCTACGCAAAAATTTGCTGCGAAAATCAAATAAGCATTTAAAGGCGTAAGAATAGTCTCTACGTAGAGATTTTAAGATATATAAAGCAAACATATTCTTGATTAGTTTCAAATTTCAAGCTTCATTTTTCTCATCGCAAGAGTAAATGTAGCAGAAACATTACATGTTCCCGCTCGTACGCACGTATTGCAAATGATCCAAGTCGTTCAAAAGATAAAATAATTGATATTTTTTTTCTACTTCATTCATTCTAAGGGTGATCTTAGAGGATCTATACAAAATTAGAAGAAATGCATCCATTACTATAAAATATCGAATATCGTTTATTGTATCCTCCGTCATTTGTAGTATAGATTTGAATTCGATTTTTATGGATGAATGTAAAACCCAGAGGAGTTTAAGAAAGACCCAGCTTTTGTTAAGCTTGTCTGTCCGTCTGTCCATACTGTTTTCTTGTGTCAAAAAGCCCGCAAAATTTGGTAGACCGGTGGACAGATTTTGGCCCAAGGATTAATGATATCGAAAATGATTCGAATCGGCCCACTTTTTAGACCACCACCCATATAGCATCTTATTTTGAAAAGCCGTTAGATATACATCTGCACGGTGGTGTAGAATATTTAATGACGGGTCTGGTCCCACTGTACTGTGTTTTGATTTCTTTTTTGTTTTTTAAGAAAGGCTGGCCGATATTGAGGCCTAGGCTGTATGTTTTTCTTCCCGTTTTTCTTGCTTTTTTTTATTAAGATGACTGACCATTCGAGCTCATTTCCTGAATGCAGATATGCCGATGGTTGGGAAGAATTGTAGGTAGACAACAGGGAAGGATGGCCTATGCCGATAACTGATCATTCAAGCACATTCTCTAATTGGAAGGCAAGGTGATGGTTTGAAATAATTACAGATAGCAGGCGGGGATAGACTGACTTATGTTATTACCAATTAGGACTTTGATTTGATTGGCATCAACAGTGGATAACCGATCAGTGCGAAAACTGTCTTGAACCTCACACAATATCAAACACATTCATTTTTTAGTCTTGCTCCGTGCAAGATCTTTTGTCTTCTTCGCAATAGAAATATATAATGGTTTTACCAAAAATTTCCCTCACGTTTGCAAGTGAAGCTAAAATTCGTTTAGATTACTGATCTTGATATATATTGTTTTATAATTGCGATAAAAATTTCAATTTCCACCAGACTTGGTTTTGACAAGAGAAGAATTGTGCACGATATCTACTGGAATTTTGGTGTGAAATTATGCATAGATGCAATAATTTTAAGCGACGTTTAGTGTATAAAGTCAGGTGAGAACACTTACAATGTTTCAGTTAATAAAATTTTCTGCGGCGGGTCAGTGTCGTGAAGAATTCAAATTTTAAATTCTATGCCGAAATGTGTAAACACGATTGGCGATTAAGTATTTTTCTAATACTGTATGGACTTTCTTGCATCCTTGCTTGTGACTTGCGTAAGATTGAATTTTTGTGTTATTAAAGTGAAAAAAGGTCTTTCATTTTTTGAACATTTTTTTAAGCGCTTATACAAAGGCTCAGCTGCTTATTAATATTCCGGCCGGTAGCATTATAAAGTTGCATAGAAAAGTTTTAAATAGCAATAAATTACCTTCAGTACTTTATGGCCCTGTTTCGTTATTTTCACTGGCAATTTCAGCCTAAGGTTTCATATGCCTTGTTGAAAGCCCCCATCTAAAGGATGCTTTGAAGATATGGTTGAGTTTACCTATTCTTGATCAGGGAATGAATAGCAAAGTTTGTTAAAGATCCGTAGTCTGGCATGTCTAGCTGTCAGGCAATTTTTTCGCTTCTTACATTGAAAAGAAAGCCTTGTCCTCTTAAAGGAATTTGGCTTAAGTTTTCTTCTTATGATGTTCGTAAACTCGGAGCACATGAGGCCAAGTAAGGAAGCATGGGCGAAATGCCTGTTATGTGATCTCAAATATGGTGTCGATCTAAATGGATCTTCCAGTGCAATTAAATATCCGAAATATACGAAAGGTAATGGCGGGAACTATTTGAATAGAACTTATATCCGGCCGACATTGGGTTCATGTATATTAAGTAGGGTTAAAAAAGATCTTTTTTTATTTATTTTTTTTTATTTACAACCAATGTGTACTATAAAAATGTTTTGTTCTATGCACATAGGTATAATAACACTTATAAAACTAGTTTAACTAGCAGTTTTATTAGCAGCTCCAGTCTATAAAACTTAGTACCTAGAAGGTTTAACAATTAGAAACGCGTAGCAAGATCCAAAGTCAACAATGGATACAATAAAATCAGATCAAAGTTCTATTGTAATGTTCAATGAGTTTCTTTTTGCACACGGGAGTGTGGAAAAGGAGATGTTCATCCAAGTGAACAACCGTGATCAGAAAGAATACTGAACTGCCTATTAAGGGAATAAATGTTTGTGAATAACTTGAGCCAAAAACTGATTTTCTGTCTGTAGTCAAGAGCGCTACTTTATAAAAGTGTATAAGATATCTTATAGTCAGGAAATTGTCAAAGGAGCATTTTAAGAGGTTAACGACATGCCGCGATATATGATTGTAAGGTCGACTTTCATACTGATCAGCCAGGCAGACCGCCCACAAACCTATAAATCTTATTCATAAATTACTTCTATGAACATTCTCCCGTACAATAAGATATCTGTGACATCATCACGGGATGGGAGACTTTAGCCCTAATGAATTTCATTTGGCTCACGTTTCTGGGAAATATTAATTCTTTTTGAAATTCTCGCTTTATTTTTAGCGCCAGAAATTAAAAAATGTAAAGCAGGCGATCATGTATGCATTACCCAAACAATGAATGATATAATACGTTTGTATCCCGACGGAAATCCTCTTTTCAAGATGCCGAATTTAAAGTTGGTAAAACTCGATAAGCTGATAGTGTCTAAATCGGATAGCAAGGCGCCGTTGCAGTTGAATTTCCAACTCTTCGACATTAAAATAACCGGTTTGGATAAAGCAAAGATATTAGGTACGAAG